TTTTGTGAGGAGCAGGGCGTTTGACTAAACAGCTCGATATTATTTTTTACAACGTAGGCATAAGAAATGTATTTAAAATGATCGGTTATTATTTTTTGGTAACTTAATTGGACCCAGTACTACAAATAAATTAGTCACAGAAGACCTGCAAATAAATATAGGTATTATAGCGTTTTAACAGTACCTAGATTAAAATCAAAAATATTAAAGAAAATACTTTTAGAATAAATAGCGGCTTTGTAGAAACATCTTACTATTAATGTTATTTGACTTTTTGGAGGTATTTATTTTTGTTTTTTATTTTTTAATTTTTGAATAGCTTCTAAGATGTAATCAGGTTCTCTTAATGACATTCCCCGATTATGCATTGGATCTACCAATTCCGGCAACATACAGTTTAAATAAAACTTTTTTAACTTCTCCTCCATATTTTTACACCAGAAATTGTCTCTTTTTATTATATATTCCACTATTGGGACCTGTCCATACACCCAAAAAATACATCCTTTTCATCCTGTAATATGTAATTGGCCTTGTATTTGATAATACCATTGATGGTGGATATTAATGTCAAAATTATTGGTTTCTTTATTAAAAATCCAAAACGGTATTTTTTTCAATTTAATCGCCTCTTCTACCTGCGCTGTAGTGGCCAAGCATATATGCAGCAGAAATCGGTTAAGGTGGGCCGTAAACACTTTTAAACCGTTTAAGTCTCCAGGTGTGGATGGAATATTTCCTGCCCTGCTTCAGCAGGCACAGGAGGAATTACTACCACACATAATCCGGCTATCCCGGAGCAGTCTGGAGCTGGGATATATACCAGAATCATGGAGAAGGGCCAGAGTCACCTTTATTCCAAAAGTAGGGAAAAAGGATACCACACATCCTAAATCTTTCCGTCCAATCAGCCTCACATCCTTTGTATTAAAAACAATGGAGAAGGCTGTTGATAACTATATCAGAACAGAAGTCCTGGAGAGGGTGCCACTCCACCACAGCCAACACGCGTACCGAGCAGGAAGATCTACAGAAACTGCCCTGGTACAGTTGACTGATGTAATCCAGGATGCACTGACAAACAAAGAAACGGTCGTGTGTGCCTTTCTAGACATAGAAGGAGCTTTTGACAACACGCCACACGAATCTGTAAAAAGAGCACTTGCATACAGAGGAGTAGATAACATCACATCCACATGGATGGCTCAGCTGTTATCTTCGAGAACTGCAGAGACACAGATAGGGCAGGACACCATCTCCATCTGCACAACCAGAGGATGTCCACAAGGAGGAGTTCTATCCCCACTAATGTGGAGCCTAATCGTAGACGAACTTCTATGCAGATTGACTGACCTCGGCATACCCTGTCAAGGTTATGCCGACGACGTCATATTTGCTAGTGGTAAGTTTAGTAATATCCTGTGTGATATAGTCCAAAGAAGACTAGAACATACCAAAAGATGGTGCCGTAAAGTGGGACTTAGTATAAACCCTACAAAAACAACACTAGTAGCCTTTTCAAGGAAAAGAAAACTTAATCTCAAAACCGTTAAATTAGACGGGATAGATATAGAATGGAAAAATGAAGTCAAATATCTAGGCCTAACCCTGGACAACAAACTTCTCTGGAACACACATGAAGGAAGTAGTAAATAAGGCCACAAAAGCCCTAATGGTATGCAGAAACATGGCGGGTAAACGATGGGGATGTAACCCAAACATACTGCGATGGATATATACTGAAATAGTGAGACCAATCATCACTTACGGGGCTATAGCCTGGAGTAACAGAACTAGTTTAGTTACTACGAGAGCTAATATCTCAAAAGTACAAAGACTAGCCTGTGTTTGCATTACTGGTGCAATGAGAACCTGTCCTACGGCCGCAATGGAGGTGATCTTAAACCTCACCCCTCTACATTTGATGATAGAGAATGTGGCAAAAAGGACACGATATAGAATGATCAGGAACGGAGTAATCAGACGAAAGTCTACTTGCTTCAGGACTAAAGATACCTGGGACATGCCCCAGGATGAAATGCAAAAGAAGTACAGTTTTGTGAAAAACTTCAAAACCACAGAGCTGGGCTGCAAGAAAGAATGGAGCCAAGAATCCATCGCGCTTGCAACCGAAAGATGTGCTATTCAGTGGTACACGGACGGTTCCAAAACCATAGAAGGAACTGGAATAGGAGTGTATGGGCCGAGAACCAAGCACTCCGAAAGCTTGGGAAAATACCCAAGCATCTTCCAGGCGGAAATTCACGCCATCGAGAAGTGTATCCAGTTTAACATCGAGATAAACTATCATAGACAAGAGATTATCATCATGTCCGATAGTCAAGCAGCCATCAAAGCGCTGAGTTCTTGCGTAATCAGCTCAAAAATGGTATGGAGATGCCTAGAACAATTGAATGAGCTAGGCGAGAAAAATAGAGTTACTCTCACTTGGGTTCCGGGACATAACGGGGTACAGGGTAACGAGATTGCAGATAGTCTTGCAAGGAAAGGGGCTCAAACACCCTTTGTAGGACCTGAGCCGTTCTGCGGTATCAGCAGTAACATAATATTAGAAGAGATTAAAAAAGAATTGGGTAGTAGAAGAACCGATAATTGGAACAATCTCTTGGGGCTGAGACAGGCCAAGATACTTCTGGGTGAATATAACCAAAAAAGATCGGAAGCCTGCATCTGCCTGAGCAAGAACAGGCTACGTATTGTAACAGGGATCCTTACCGGGCACTGCCGACTAAAAGGACACCTAAGTAAACTGAGAGTAGTAGAGGATAGTGAGTGCAGATTCTGTGAGGAGGAGGACGAAACCTCCATTCACATCCTAACTGAATGTGTAGCACTCCAGAATCCAAGGGCACTATATCTAGGAGGATATCAAATAGAAGAGACTTACCTAAATTGAAGCCACTTCAAATCCTACACTTCCTTGAGAAAATAGGATTGGAAGGGTCGCTATAGGCATTGAGACATTTCCTTAGTGCAGTGGCGACAGAAGGGGGCACAATAGATCTTTTAGGTCGCAGTGTATTAACACCCCATTATCAACATAACATTACCTGCATTTGATATGCAGCGTATGGACATTCTATTTCAACCACTAATTCATCTCCTACAATGCCGTCTGGAGTAGCACCTACAAATTTAAAAATTATTATTTTGATTTAAAATGAACTAATTTGCAATATGTTATAGTTGAGATGTGAGTAAAAATGTGAACTGATCGTTACGTACCTAAATATGGATATTTTTTGTTAATAAAAATTCCACAATCTCTAATCACTATATTTTCCTGCTCTTGAAGCTGCAAAATTGCCGTTTTTTCATACTTTTTGCCATGAGAAATAGGAGCAGCATTGACTGGTGGTTGGTAAATAATCCTTTTGACTAAAGGCTCACATAAAGTAGTAATTCGTCTAGTACACACTGCTTTAAAGTGTGAGGCCTTAATCATTTTTCTACGAATTTCAAGCCAAACCCTGCTATCCGCCTGTGACATAGTTTGTTCCTAAATTACATTTCTCTTAACGTCAGATGAAGGAAATTCGTTTAAAAATTGAAGTTTTTTTACTTCATAAATATCTTGATCTAAATCCTTTTTGGTACAATTTTCTCCATAATCTAAATCAGTTTTATTGGTTTTTGCAGAATAACTTTTTTTTAGTTTGCGATTAGATTTTGATTTTATTGCCAATTGTCGCCTTTTTTTTTTTCAATTCAGTTACTAACATGGATTGGTTAGTACGGTTTAAAGTTTTTTTCAATTCTGAATTCCCTGATTTCGAATTATATGATACAACTGCTGCAAAACATCTACTTTGGTAAGAGCGCCCTCTGGAATAATTGATTCTTTTGCCACCTACAAACTTAGCGACTGTCGCATGAAATTGTTCCACAATATTACTATCAACATCATGTAATAGACTTCTGCTGTGATCTGACAAAGCATGTATAATTTGTAGGTCTTGTAAAAAATTCAGGTTTAGATCTGAAATTGGTTATTTCGTTTTTGGTTCCATCTGTATGCTTCTGACAAAAATAAATATTGCAGTTTTTATGATCACCAAAAACGTGAAAACTTGCATTGTCTTTGACTTTCTTTAAAAGCAAAACGTTATTAATAGTGCTAAGACTATTTTCTTTTCTATAAGAAGCTGCCTTCGTAACAGATGTTCTTAAACGAAGAATGTTTTGACTAACTAATTTTCATAGTTTTATTGGAAAATTCACAAATAACTTTCTCTTTTAGGCTCAAAATTTTACTTAATACGTTCAAATCTTCAATTCACCGGTATAACTAAATAAATCGCCGTTCCATTTCCTATGATAGGGGAAATGTGGCCCGACGACCCGTTCTTGGAATTTTGAAGGTAGGAGTGTTATAGGAGTAATATGCCGACAAATTAGTTCTCATGAACGGAGCAATAACTCTTAATGTACCATTAGTTTAAATAAACCAATTTTGACTGTGTCGTCAAAAAAAATTCACAAAAATGTGCTTTTTGCACGAATTAACCTTCCCCCCCTTAAGGTCTTTTTGCTCTAACTCCTTTAAGCAACGTTTTTCCCAGAAAAGCATTCGATCCAAGATTTCCCCCAATTTTCCTGGGAAATATTTGAGGTACCAGGAAAATTTCAATGCCAGACTCTGAGCAGTATACGTAAATTTTAGGTTTTTTCGGAAAATTCTTTGGAAAAGTTGGAACATTTGTCCTCCAATTCTTTCCGAAACATAAATCGGCTGCAAAAATAAGCTGCTTTAGCCGGAAAATTTATCGAAAACCACTTTCACGAAGAAAATTTTAAAATCTTTCGATGTAATTCGACAGAGAAAATTTCAACAGACAAGCCGAACAACGTTTATTTAGCTTTTTTTATTGTTAAATCAATCTGGAAAACCATGGGAGGTGAATAAAGAAGGCCATATGAGTGTTATCAAAACAAATCATTTATTACATACTTTAATAAATCTAAACAATCAATTAACAGTCATCATTAATAAAATAAGTTTCAAATAATGTTATAGGTACTAACATAAAATATTATCTATAAGTTTCTTATTAACATATATATTCGAAATTTGGCAGTTAAGCTCTCTGTGCAAATCAAATTTTACAATTATATTACAATACAATAATAATTTAGTAATAGAAAATCCCTAACTATATGACTTTAATTACTTAAGTACTAAGTTAATCTAATAAACATCTGATTAAACGTTAAAAATTTCCACGTTTCAAAAAATTTTACTACGTCATTATTGCATTTTGAACTTCAATTAAATGTTTATTAGAGATTACGCTAATAAAAATGTATAAAGTTAGACATAAATATTGTATGTATATATGTAACATTAACAAGTGTAAAAAAATAATGTATAAAAATATTCGTCATCACATTTTTCATAACCAATTTTCGCTGTTTAGGCACAGTAGACAATAGGCACATTTGTTATTATTATAATGTGAACTTTACTCAAGTGTAAGTAATGATATACCGGATGTTTCGTAGAAAAAACATCCTTAGAGATGTCAAGTTTTACTTGTTCTACATATTGATAAAAGTTCTATAAAGAAAAAATTAAAATATTAAATAGACTATTGTAAATTAGTCTAATGACTTTTGAGATAACACTGATTTGAATATTGTATTACAGATAGTTCTTGTACCTACTAAGCCTCATCCATGCACGCTGAACGATGAAATTCCAGAAGAACGGTATAGAAACACATTCCTATTGAATAGAGAGAAACAGAATATACATCACCGTCGGGCAGATCCCAATATACATGTAATAACCCATTATTGCCAGCAAAAGGGCGTGGTTAAACCAATTTCTTTCTTTAATTCTTTCATGTCCAAATATAATTGAACGTCTCATATCACTTTATCTTAACAAAAATCTTGGACCATGGACAAGAAAATACTGCAATACACAAGGTCGTGTTACAGAATAGAGAACAATACAGAAAAGAAACAGGGCTAGTTCCACCACAGGGATAATCTGAGAAAACGTAACTATTCACAGTATAACTAGCTCTGTGGTGTACTGTGAATAGTTACTTTTTCTCAGAGTATCTCTATGGTGGAACTAGCCCTATATTTCTGTTCTGTATTGTTCTCTATTCTGAGGTCGTGCTGTCTACAGAACAGAATGTGAATTTCACCAGGTGAAACAACTTGTGGAAGAGTATATACGTTTGGAGATAACATACACAGAGAAAAATGAATGGCAGTGAGACAGAATTACCAAAACATCGTGACACCAGGTGGAACTATAAGATGACAACGTTATACATAGATAATTTGGTGTTTTCTTTGATGATAAGAAGAAAAAGATATTAAAAACAAAGTAAGGATAACAAAAGTATATTCAATTTTATGGAAGAAGCTCACTTATGGATTAGAAATAAATACGATTATAGATATGATAGATAAAGATTAAAAATATATCAAAAATCACAAGTGGATGAAAGATAACAGATTAACAATTAAATGGGTTCGAAGTAAAAAGAGAACCGATTGGCACATAAAGAAGTAGAAAACTGAATTTAAAAAGCTGTAAATTATAAAGATCTAACTATTAAGTAAGATAGAGTACTGTAATAGAGATCCTATATAAAATAAGTAAAATAAATAGTGATCGGAAAATTATATATATTTTGGAAAGTAAATGAATCGTACTTACTATGTGGTGACAAACATATACAGTAGGGTGTCCCTTATTTTTTTATTTCACATTCTAACGCATAGGTCTTACTTTTGTTCATTTGCTCTTAAACACTCGGAAATAAATTTTTACTTAATTTGGAGTACGATAATCCGTGCCGACTTGCATAGAATCATGTTCATACAAGTTGCGCTGAAGTAGCGGCGGGTATTATACTGCCGTCCTAAAAACAGATGCCGTATCTACTGAGAGCGTCAAGCGGTGAAAATGAGGTTTAAAGTTATTTCCTTAGTCGGTAAAAGTATTCAGATGCGGCTAATTATGTTGGATTTTTAATATTTCGGAAACATATACGGCATTTCTACTTGGTGAGAAATTTTAATTGAGAAGGAGTTAATTCCGGAAATATTGCTCAAAACTATTTGCTGCAGCTGTGAAACTGGATGTAACAGTTTAAAATGTGGCTGCCGAAAACATTGCTTAAAATGCACAAATTTATGCTCAAATTGTAATGCTTCTGAAAAATGCACCAATGTGGAAGAAAAAACCTACGAGGAAGTTAGTGATTCAAATGAAATTGTGGATGAAGGACCAATTCAGACTAAAAATAATATTGGATACGAAGACAGTGATGGTCTTGAAGATTTCGAAGATCAACTAGAATCATGAAGGTTTGTCGAATCTAACGATGAAGAAATGCCACCGAAGAGACAAAAAGTAATGGATAAGTGATTAGGGTTCAAGATAAGATTTATAAATAAGAAGATTAATGCATTTTAAAATATTATTATGAATAATAATAATCAGTATAAAGTATCTAAATTCAATAGTACGATTTACATTTCTATACATATATTATGAAATTTTCTATGACATAAATGTAATTAGAATTTAATAAATCAACTTTTTGACTAAAAAAATTGCAGCAATCACATTTTTTAATTGAAATCTCCCCTTTAAATCCTATCTTTAATATTTAGAACAACTATTTTCGCATGTTTCTTGCAATTTTTATGATTTATGGATTTGTAATTTTTTTGTTTATCAATGGCCGCATTCAGCAGAAGCAATCGATTTATGATTTTCTGCTGAATGATATATAAAAGAGCGATTAGTAATCAAATGATGAATTATCGGCCGCCATTTAAAACATCGAATTTGAAATACGATTAGTTATCACATCGTGATTAGATTTAGAACTCATACCAACTCTAGTGAATATTTTGTGGTGGTGCTCATAACTCATAACCTTATTTAATGTTTATTTTGAATTCATTTTTGCACTGGATGTGTAATTTTTCACTGAAATGGAGGACTTTGAAGTGATATATGTTTATAACAATATGAAATATATTGTAGTTGGTAATGAAGTGTTGCACAATGCATTAAAATCAGGCAAATACATTAATTTATAATTATGTAGTTGAGTAATTTATTTGTTTTATTCTAAATTTTGTACCTATGTTTTAGATTATGACTTTTTTCTGAAGTACATGTCACTTTTATGTCGCCTGTCGAAGTGCCTAAAAAGTTCATTCAGGAGATTCACTAATCGATAAGTCATCGCTAAGTTATCGTTTGATAATCGGTTGCTTCTGCTGAATGCGGCCAATGTAACATAGAATCTTACGTTTTTCAAGTAATTAAAGTGTCAATTTTACTAAATAGCTCAAAATTGTACATAGTGATTAAAAAAAAATTTCGGATTCGACTTTTTTCTTTTCTTTGCATTTTCTGAGAACATTTACCATAGTTATGTATATATTTTTTACATTATCAGAAAGAAGAGATTTCAACGAACAAAAAACGCGAGAATTTTCGATTGAAAATTAGGGTGTTTTTTTCGATATTAAGTCAAAATAAGGTGAAAAAATAGATATTTCAAATCAAAAAAATTACAGTGTCTTTAGGACATAAGAAGGTAAGTTTTCACCAAATTTCGAGAAAAAAAAAATTTTTTTTGCGTTAGAAAAATAAAAAACCGAAAACTTATGGTTATGTGAAAAAAGTGTAATCACAAAAGTTGTAGGTCTCTTTATTACCTACAACTTTGTCATTTAATTTTTTTCCATAGGACTTGTAGTTTTGCCGGAAATCGAGATACACCGTTTTTTACCCTTAAAAACTCACCCCCTTCCACTTCCCGACCTCAGATCGCCCGTAAATTATTTTTCCTTTCATTTTTGTCATATTCTCTTCCTTTTTTAACGGGTTTCATCCTATTATTTTTTTTTTGTTTCAAAAATTATCGACCCTGATCTATATGCAATTCGATTTCCGATAAAAAAAATTCATCCATATAAGGGACACCCTAATATACACGGTACTTTCCTTAAAATAATGCTTTATTTAATTTTGATGATGAAATTTAAAAAGTAGATGATATGAGTTTAAGGTATAAAGTTCCTCGTTTAAATTATAGCACAATATTGTGTGTTGTTGAGCTTTCCGGGAAACCCATAAAGAAGAATTATACAACATTGATAAGTTTATTAAAAGTTCTCAATATTTGTATAAATAAACCATCTACGAGAAACATTAATAATTATATAAAAACACATAAAAATAACCAAGAAGCAGTAGTTAATAATTTAATATGAATATTTTAAATAAACCACCTGATACTTTTTATCAACTCCTGAAATGTGGTCATTTTCGAATGATGTATAGACAAAGACAAAATCCGTACCACTAATTTATAAATTTGTGGTGTAGATTTTGTATTTACCTATATCTTATTTTATAATAAATTGGTTGTTTAAAATCATAGCCATTTGAACTACGTACACCAATAACAAATGGTGTGGAAAATTGTTTAATATTTGGCAATTGACGTTTTAAAAAAGTATTATTATGAAAAATGGATGACTAGGTGTATAATTAGTCGTGGTTAAGACACTTTATTCGAAAATATAGGCACGATTTTTGCTTAGTTTCAAATTAAAAAAGCAAAAAATCTCACTATACCTAAGTACTATAAAATTTCGAGATTCCAAAAGTTGAAAATTTTAGAGAATATCTATTAGATAATTCTTTTAAAAGATCTATAAAAACAAATTTAAAATATTGCCTTTCGATATTTTCGAGACAAATTCGTAGATATTTTGTTTTTGGAGAAAATTAAATGTAATTGATCAATTACTTCATTATGATACTTATTTCACGGCTTTCAAATGTCAGTAATTTGAAATTAAAGGTTTTAACTGACAGAAAGATATGTCCATTCATAATAAGCGCATTAAATATACAAAATTTAATATGCAGATGTACAATGATTGTTAAATAATAGAGATAACTTTCCATCTGATAATTGAAAACACTCGTTAAAAGTATATCAACAAATATCAATAGAATATACCTCGATTTTCTTCTCCAAAAAACAAATATTCTTGACAAAAATTATATTGCCACAATAGGATAGATTAAAATATAAATTATTTTTGAACTAATTCAAAAACAAGTAGGTACACTATCAAACATTTAACACTTTCGCTGCCAGGTTAATGCATTTTCGAAACACAAGCACAATATACATTCGTTCTAATATCACAAGATTTGCGTTTAAACGTCTCCATTTTTATCGACATCCTGTTTTTCAAGATTCAAATGTGCTATATTCAATCGTATTTTTAATATAATCTTTTGGTCTTCTGTCCTGTCTATTCCATAAAGTACCTGATGAAAAATAAGACGAATAGATGTGGTAGCGAAAGTGTTTACTATGGCCTAGCTATTATCACTTTTTCTCTATTGTGGCACACTTTAAAATAGCATGTATATATATACCGGGTGTTCCATATTCATTTGGTCTAATAAAATAGTTATACAAATTAAAACCTAATACATCAAATTACTGGCTTAGTTTGCTTACTGGTTAAACACTGGTCGTTAACTATTATAGATTGAAATAAAATAAAATAGGTACTCTTAACCAGTAGTAAAATTAACTTGTAATATTGCCAAATGTCTTCCATACACTTAATGGAATTTTAAATGGGAAAAATCAAATAAATAGTCACCTCTCTATTAGATTTTTATTTCAATTCCAACATCTCTTACCTGTTTTGGCACATTAATAATGTTGATTACATCTACAAAGGCATCGTTAAGATTAAAAAAAGTGTAAACCAATTTACCAACCAAAAAACCTAATTTGAATATGTAGTTTCTTCAGGCGCTCCACATGGTAGTATCGAAGGACTGCTTATGTTCAATATTTTTATAGATATTGAAAACATCAAAATCAAATGAATCAAGAACATCTTATATAAGCATTTCAATTTGGTCTTAATGGACTACGAACCAAACATTATGTTTATGGAGTATATCACAAAGTCAATGGGTAATGATGATAAAACAAAGTGCAATATAAAATAAAATTATTTGTTTTCAAAATGTCGACGCTTAGTTGATCATTTTTTCGTAAATAATTCTGTAAATGTGGAACACCCAGTATATTGCAAGCAAGACAATTAGATGGATCAATTATTATGACTCCTCTGTTTTTTAACATTAAATAATAAGCGTTATTTCAGATTATTTCAAACATATCAAGGATTCGTCAACAAAATACGAAATTTCGACATTTAACCTTAAAATTTAAGTTTAGAAAATAGAAGAGCCTACTATACATTTAAATAGCAAAGTAACTAAATAAGTTAGCTATCTTCACAATAAATATGGCACTGGACACCTATAGGATAGACGAGTGGATAAATTAGATAAGAGTGCATTCGAGAATTAGACAAATGTGAGCTGCTACTTTTAGACTTGTTCCATTTCAAACTATTTATTGATTTCGGCACTCTCCACTATTACATGTTCATAAAATCGCTAATATTAATTGTTGGCACTCAAATGACAAATTACATTTGACAGTCAAAAATATTAACACAAAGAGTTCAAAGATGACATAGATCGGAGAGGTCCCAGCGATAGCTGACAATTATTAGAAGCCATCACTACAATTAGCTGCATCAATAGAAATATTATTTTTTTAAGAACTGAAACCGGTCTAAACGTAACAGTTTCAAAAAATCATCTAAAATATCCGAAATTACTCAGATTGATACCATTAATTTCTGTTTCTTTTATAGTTATAGTTGTTATTTAAGAAAAGTTATTTTCGTACTGTGGTTAGAAGAATTAGAAAATTTCGCCTTTTTTTAGGACAGTATCAATCCACTGGATGTTTTCGTGTAACTGGCAGTTTAATTGAAAAAATCTAAAAAAAGGGTTTGATATTTAGCCTTTGCCGGCGTATGTGGGATTTTTAAACGTTGACGTAGCCTGCTTGTAGATAGGATTTTCTCCCTGAAATAAAAAAAGATTTTTAAAATGTGAAAATTAAACGTTTATAAATTAAAAGAAAACAAGATGATTGTAAAAAGTATTAAACTTTATTTTAGAAGTGTAAAGTTGCATATGCAGGAATTATTAAACTATCAAAAATATCAGTTTTTTGTGTCGTCATTAATAGCATTTTCCAACGGTGTTTGTAACACTGTGTGATAGTTTTTTGTATACCACTGGGAAACTGGTATACTAAAACATGCCCTCAGTGAAACTTTTTTTTAGCATGAGCTCAAGAGACGGTGTTATAAATGCAGTTCAAGAATGCGACGCGCTTGGGACGAAGTTGTTTTGAATATAAAAACACAAAACAAAAAAGAGGCTGGTACTTTTTTAACCGTAGTAGTGAATAATAATTATTTAATGATTTAGTTTAAAAGATATTTTAGACTCTCTAAACAGACTGTTAAGATAATTATATACAGTATGTTTCAAATGAAAGGAATAAATTCATTATAATGGAAGTAGTTGGTTTTTCGAAAAAATGGTCAATTTTGTTTACTAAAAGCGCAATTTTTTAAAAAGAATTCAAGTTTCCCCTACTTCTCATTTTAGGGCAGTGACGTCATTGGTAATTTTTTAAATAGTAACCCAATTTTTTTTCTTGATTTTGATAGATCTTGTAATTTCCTACTCGAAAACATAATATTTGAAATATCTTACATAACAATTTTTTTGAATAAAAGTCATTTAAAGATCAGACACATAAATTTTATTTTGAACGAAAGATAATTATTTGTAATTAAGTGCTTAATCTAACAAAATATTAATAATAAAAAAGAATTTAATGACAATTTCACAGCAAAATAATTAAAAAATATTCTACTAAATTAGGTGTTCAAAATGTCCTCCACCGACGTCTTGCCTTTTATTAGTACAATAAATATTATTATTATTTTTTTTTTTTTTTTAATTTGGTGTCATCGGCGTATTATTATTATTATTATTATTATTATTATTATTCATTAAATACAACCAAATCTATATCAAGTGCTCAAATTGTTGACCCTCAGCTAAAATACAATGGGAAAGACGTGCAGCGATCTCTTCTTGGACGTTCTTCAAAATTTCCGGAGTTATGTTTGCAATCTCAATACGTATCCGTTCTTTGAGATCATTGATATTTTGTTGTCTATTTTGGTACACTTTACTTTTCAAGTATCCCCATAAAAAGAAATCAAGAGGAGTTAAATCGGGTGACCTAGGAGGCCATTATATTAATCCTTTTCGATCTATCCACCGATTTGGGAAGATGTTGTCCTAGTAGTTTCGCACCAAGACAGCATAGTGTGGAGGCGCACCGTCTTGCTGTAACCACAAATCATTTCTGTTTGGGAACAATCGGTTCAATTCGGAGATTAAGAAGTTTTGAAGAAATTCTAAATATCGTGGACCTGATAAGGTTTCTTCGAAAAAGTATGGCCCAATAGTCTTATTATCTATTATTCCTGCGCAAACATTCACTTTTACTAGGTATTGAGTATGATACTCTTGCATCCAGTGAGGATTTTCGGTAGCCCAATACCGAGAAGTCTGACGATTGACATGACCGTTTAGTAAAAATGTAAACTCATCGGAAAAAAGTATATTTTTTAAAAACATTGGATTTCTGTTGTTTTTGTCCATTATAATTTCGCAGTATTCAACTCGTTTATCAAAGTCATCTTCCATAAGTTCTTGTACTAAAGTAACTTTGTAGGGAAGCCACTTTTGCTTCTTTAGCGTTCTAAGAACTGTTGTTATTATCTAATGCTACTTGCCGTGAACTGGTATGGGGATTATCTTCAAAGGCTAACAGAACATCCAGTTTCTTGTTTTCGGAAATTGGATTTCTACTACCTTTAGTGATGTCTTTCACATGACCCGTTTCTCTGAATTTTTTCTCAATATTACTCACAGTGGATTGTGAAATTGGTTCTCGGTTTGGGTATTTATTATTAAATAACGTACATACATCTTTCTGTGTACGTGTTTTATCTCCACAACCAATCATTATTAAAACTTAAATTCTTTGCGTTTGTCAGCTTCATGTTGATAAATGCAAAAACTTTTTGAAAACGTTCACCACAATACTATTAACCACTTGATAGAAAGCGAATTAAGTTGAACATTGAATTCTATTTAAAAAATTGCGCTTTAACTAAACAAAATTGACCTGTCCGAGCATTTTTTCGAAAAACCAACTACTTCCATTATAATGAATTTATTCCTTTCATTTGAACCATACTGTATAAATTCAAAAACACAGGAAATTTTTTGACACTCATATTACTCGGATAACACCTAATTTATATATTATTTTATGTTTCAACTAAATTTTTTAAAAGTTTTTGTTATATATTGCATTTTTTTTCTAGCTTAACTTTGATGCTTCCCCTCGGAATTTGTTTCTTATTTTTAAGACTGGAAAGAATTTTTTTTAATGCATATTGAAATCAACAAAGCTATAAATGGAGACTTCGAAGATTTCAATAGTTCTTATTTGTTTTGAAGGGTAGATGGTACGGAAGGAGAAACGGTACACTACCCGATCCTCGAAATTCCCGAAATGCAGAGACTGGCAACATCACTAATCTCCATATGTGCACTGAAATGCATAACGCATGTGGTTACAACATGTGCTCCTTATTTTCGTCAAAAGTTTTGGTGTTTTTTTTTCAAACCAATAAATTTTTTTGGTGGGAAGTTTAGTTGAGCTATTATGTAAGTACACTTCAAATATTTTAGTTTTTTGTTGTAGTTAGTCAAGAAATCCTCTAATTTAACAACCTAACCTTAAAATAAGGACTGTTGTCGATTTTTATAGATTTTATTTGTTGTTCCATGTCTCCTTGTAGTATAAGATAGTTGAGAAAGATTTTGTTGAGGATAGATGGTACGGGTGTTCCATCTGTCCTTTATAAGCATTTGTACATTGGATTTTTTATAGCAAATCATTTGAATTACTTATATTATTTATATTTATTTGTCCTAAATATGCCGAATATCTACAAGGAAAAAGGCAGCGCCAACGGCAGAGCTGAGTGATCAGAAGAGAGCTTAAAAAAAGCAACTAAAGCAATGGAAAGAAAGCAAGTTGGTTTGAGAGGAGAATCTCAGACATACAGTATAACCCTCACAACTCTGTCAATCAGAAATCCGGGAGAAAAAATCAAATCCTATAAAAGTCGTTGCACTTCCTTAAAATAATTATTATGTATGAAGTTTTACAATATTTTTAACCCATTTTTTTTTTCCATTTATTTGTATTTTATACACCGTGGACAGCTTGCAATACCTTTCTATTAGAAACGATCAAATCATGGAACTGTTTACATATGTTTTACATATATATTTAAAATTTGTACATACCTATATTTCAGATTTGACATGAGTAGTTGCATTAAGGCGAGTTTTTGACCAAAGTTCATTAACTACGCTGAAAACACGTTGGACAGCATCGTTTTAGATATGAATCGATAGAGTGAATAAAATAAGCTTTTTTATATATTTTTCTGATTCATCCAAAAGTTTTTTAAAGAAATTAACCCAACACATGTCTAATCTCGTTTTGCTTAAAATCATTACACGTACTTCTCGTAGTAAACCATCATACCCTGTATTCTCATTTATATAGGGATATTGAGAGAATAATTCTGATCGGTAATCATCTTTATTCATAAATAAAAGATCTGGGATGGATTAGATACGGTCTTGGAGCCGGGAGCTTTTGAATATGAATTGTCACTTTCAGGGAAAATTCCGGAATTCCGGGAGAGCTGGCAACCCTACCCTCACCATTTTAAAAAGACGAAATTCTTTAAGGAAAACGGAAAAGTATGGATTAGGACCAGAATCTACTCTTGGAACAGCCAATGAAAAAAAAAAAAAAAATTGTTGCTCACATAAAGAAGCTTCAAAGGCGCGGATTTGCTCCTACCAGAGCAATGGCTTTCGATCTAGCTGAAAATAAAGCATAAGTTTAACGCTGACAAACGAATGGCTGGTTACCCTTGGTTTGAATCATTTGTTAGGCGAAGTCCGGAATTGTGGATACAAAAAGCAGAAGGACTTTCATCCGCTGGCGCCACAGCCATTAATAAAAAGGACATTGACCAATACTTCGCCTCATTACAATATATATTGATTCCAGCATAACTTACTTAATAAATCAGGTCATATATTCAACTTAGATGAGACTGGACTGCAATTGAATAACAGGCCAGAGCAGGTAGTTGCAATTAAGGGCCCAAAAAACGTTGTATCCATAACGTCTGCTGATCAAGGAGAAACAATTTCTATTGTTGCTTGCTGCAGTGCAGAAGGACCTTTATTCCTCGGACATGTATTTTTAAGAGGAAAAATAAAAAACAGGAATATGAAGAAGGCATGCCAAGTGGTGCAATAGTATTCATGTCCCAAAAGACTGCTTATATTAATGAGCTTTTTTTGAAATAGATAAAAGAGCAATTTGCCCCTTGAAAACCACCAGGAAAAGTTTTGTTGCTAATTGATGGATACACTTCACATTGTAACAACATTGAACTCTTAGAATATGTTGCAGAACCAGTGTGCAGAACACAATATAATTTTACTTTGCCTACCAAGCCATACCACACAATGTCTTCAGCCCTTGGATCAAGTATTTTTTAAGTCTCTCAAAGGATAATGCAATTTCTACATAAGAAGAAATCCTGGTAAGCGGCTAAACAGGCTTCAGTTCGTCCAATTATTTAATTCCGCCTGGCAGAGTGCAGCCACTATCCAGCACGCTCAGCCTTCCTTTAGGGCTACTGGAATAGTACTATTCAACCCGTCTGAAATTCCGGAATACCCATTTTTGATAGACCAAAACTAAAACCTTGACCAAAATATAGCATCAGTTGTTGGAGAAGATGGAGTTTCTGATGTAGCAAATAATGAAACTTTACTGAGAGCTTTAGGTCCACCGATTGTTAGTGTTAGTGATGAAACAGAAGATACTGATCCAAGAAATGACCCCACCGATTTACTGGAGGATTTGGCACAACCAGGATATTCTGGTTACATAGCCCCTGATAAAAGAAAGCACTCGACGGAAGAAATGGTTGCAAATGAAAAGGATGCTGCTCATGAAGAGGACGAGACATCGAGAAAAATCCTTGATATTGTTTCACTTGTGCCGTAAATTCAAACCGAAGGCCTAAAAAAGAGAAGCTTGGTATTAGGCTAACAATCATGGAGAATATTAGCGAGAAAAAAACAGAAACTAAACAATCAAGCCAAAGCTAAAGAAGACTGAAAAGAAAATTTTTAAAACTGCAGCCAAGAAGAAGTCAAGGAAGAGCTCATATGTGATGATAACTCTGATATGTCCGACGAAAACGAGCAATGCGTTGATTGTGGTGAACATTATAACCAAACCACAAAAAAAGATGATAAGAAGGTGTGTCAAATCAATAAGTAATAATGCCATATATCCTTAAAAAGTACCATCTTTAACTTAATTATTATTCATAAACCAATATAGACGTTCCATCTCACCTAATCATGTGTACCAAATATTCCTATATGTGTAAGGTGATATGGAACATATTTTTATTACCTTAGTATAACATTCTTTTACTTATACTTTTTGATATTTAAGACAACTATGTTGTTTGTCTGGTTACATTTTGTAAACCTACAAATACTTTTAATTTCTTTTAATAATAAAGAATTTACGTTGATTTTAAAAACGTGTACCATCTCTCCTGGATTTACCCTATAGAAAAAAGAAAATTTCCCCAAAAAATGTGTCTTTCCGTCTTGTTCTAGAAATTTTCCAATCTAACCTCGTAAATTTATTACGAGGCTCCCCTACCTATGAAATGAATCAGATTAATCTTGTTTGATTATTTTTGTAGTTTATTTTTAAAATATTGGTACCTATATTTTGTTTATTATTTAGAAGCGATTTGATATTAAAATTTAAAAAAGGAATATTTAAAACAAATGGTTAAGAAATTATGTTAATTGAATCACGTATCATCAAAGCCTTCCATCATAAAATAAATATATATAATTTCACTAAAATGAAGACCTGAGTAAAACCGAAATGAAAAAAAAAAAAAAAACAACTAAATACAGTATGGCCCAAAATAAAGATTACTAAAACGTTTACGTAAAAAAAAACATTTTTATTATTGCTATACTGACTTTATTTTTATTATTTGTAATGTCCTGAAATTTGGTATACTGTTTCTAATATATTTTGTCCACAAAATAATCATGTGACATATTTAAAAGTGGTATTATTAGATTTATGTTTTTACTTTTAAGGGGCGATTCAATTCATTAAAGAGAATGAATAGGCTAAAATACCTTTTACTTTTACTAACAATAGAGTTAAGTTTAACGTTCTGTATGTTAAGATGACAATCGAATGCAAATGTACCACGCATTTTGGTAATTAATAGTTCAATTAGACAATAATAAAATTTTGAAAGAGTAAAACCAAATTTGGTAATTTTCACACTTTTATTATAAAAATAAAAATTTAAAAAAAAAACACTAACATGACATATGTTTCGAAGTACAACTTCTTTTTCAAATGTGACTTTACAATAAAATAAGACATCGGGATTTATGATATGTATCGGCATCACTGCAATATATCCGTCGTGTCTACAAAATGCGTTCATCTCCGAGTCAGTAGCAGAAGCTTCCGTTCAAATAGAGGACTTCTATACAAGGGAAGTGCAACCAACTTGACAAAATAAAATTGACACTAATGACATAAGAAATCGGGTCACACAAAGAGGCTGTTTTTTAGTTTGCTTTTTGGTTTTTCCTATCTACTTTCATGCCATTTGCATACCTTGTTGTACCCGTAACGTGAAAAGGACTTTTTATTTTAGGGTATTTTACATTTAAAGGTTGAAACATTTTGTCATTGTCAGCTGTCAATTATGTTGATGATAGAACACAGGCGTAACCATAGATGGGCACAACGTAACTAGTATTGTATGTTGGTTGTATATTGTATAGAACTTGTATTCGTTGCAGCAGCATTTTGCAATCGACATAAATAAGTAAAACCAAATGACAAAAAATGTTTCAAGAAAGCAGGAGAAACACAAATAGACTATTAACAACAAAAAATAAAATTCAATGCTACGCTTATGTTTTGACATTATCGACAGCTAATATTGACAAATGTTTTCAACCTTTAAATGTAAAATACCCTAAAATAAAGTCTTTTTTACGTTACGGGTACAACATGGTATCTAAACGGCATAAAAGTAGATAAGAAAAACCAGAAATTTAACAAAAAAACAGCCTCTTTATGTGACCTGATTTCTTATATCATTAGTGTCAAAAAAATTTGTCAAGTTGGTTGCACTTCCCTTGTATAGAAGTCCTCCATTAGGGAAAATAGTTTTGAGAACGTTTTTAGTTTATCGCTGTTATGACGGGTTCGAATATGAGATATGTAACGGTTCCCGATCGCCGAGGAGGTCGTATTAAACTGCCGCCTTAATAATAAATCGGGGGTATATAAATTAAATTGTGGTAGTTGTCCAAAATTGTATATTGGTTAAACAGGCCGTACTTTCAAATAGCGCTATACAAAAAACAAAAATAATTCTACTTACTCAAATTATATTTTGGCTGAAAATCATTCTTTTACAGACAACTTTGAAATTTTACATGTAGAAAATAAGGGCATTAAACTAAACCATTTAGAAACACTTGAAATAAATAGATTTAAAAATTCAGATAACTTACTAAATGATCAATTAGATATTAATAATTCACCCTTATTAAATCTCTTTCCCAGTTTTCTGTGAGATAATCCCGGTAATGGGCTATCTTATTGTTATTTGATGGATATTATAATTACCTAAGTACCCTTATTTACTTTAAATAGTTAGTTTATTTTGTAATGTTATTGATGTTTTCTTAAGTACTTTGTTTTGTTAAATTATTTCGTATATATATTGGATACCGAATTGTAAATAGTCACATTTGAAAAAGAAGTTGTACTTCGAAACATATGTCATGTTAGTGTTTTTTTTAAAAATTTTTATTTTTAAAATAAAAGTGTGAAAATCTACCAAATTTGGTTTTACTCTTTCAAAATTAAATGGATTTTCATCAAGTAAAGGCCGAAACAATAAATAATAATAAAATTAATCAATATTTGGCCGAGGTGATGGTGCTCCTTGGCATCCTGTCACCTGACCTAACACCCTTATTCTTTTTAATGGGGCGATAAAAATAGTATAATATACAGCAACAAAATATTTAACTTGAGCAATATGTAATCTTCAATCTACAAACTGCAAGAAGTATAAGAGAGACAGGCCAAGGAAAACGCGGTTGGAACACTCTTGATCATTCAAATAGTGTAAAATAGGACAGAATGAACGAAAAAAGTACCAGTGGTCGACCAAGTCTACAAAAAAATAACTATGTTTTGTACTCACTGTGTCCCATTTCGCCATCATCTTCTCCTTTTCAAATCTGGCAAATTCTCGTCGATCGTGTATGGTCGTTAACAATTTCCATAACAGCAGTACCGCCATACCAATAAGAACAATGGCTGCTATTACACCCAATACTATTCCAGGTACGTAAACCTAGAAAAACAATAGATGTTAGAAATGAAAAAAAAAAAAATTATAAATAAATGAAAAATGCTTACTTTTTCGGGACACTCTCTTTCCTTTTGGGCTCTCACTTGAATTTTATTTTCATTGTCAAAAAAGTAGACGTAGGTAAATCTGCATTCGTCTTCGTCATAGTACGCACAAAGGATTTCGTTATTTGCTTCATTTACTGAAAAATAAAAGTAAAAGTCACTAAACTACATTAAATAAAAACATATTTAGATTTAACAATTATTAGGTTTACCTTATACAGTGTGTGTCATAATGTTGGATCCATATGAGTTTTTTTCTTAATATTAAGATTGGAAATCACCTAGGGGAATCAATCACCTCTAACATTAGTTTTCTGTCAAATTCACATTAAAAAATGTTTTTAACGATTGTTCAAAAACATACCAAATTTGACAGTAACTCTAAAGCAGTCTGGCCTCTTTATTATGGGCTATTTTAAGTTTTAAAAAAGCAGAGGTGAAATGGCCCATTCCGTTATTTTCCAATCCTAATATTAAAAAAAAAAAAGGTATGGATCCAACTTTATGGAACACACTGTATAATATTTTTATTTAAAATCGTAATTCAGATACATTTTTTAATTACCTGTGATTTCGTCGGCAGAAGATGGTGTAAAAGCGGTACAATTTTTAGCGCAGTCTTCTGGGTTCTTAAGAGGTCCAGTATGGTATTGTTGGCACTGAACGCAATCTCTGAATTCAATACATCTGTCTGAGCAAGTCTGTAGAGCAATAAAAAAAATAGTATCCAAAAGTTAAAAGTAAATATTCTTGAAAAAAAAAAAGGTCGATTTTTATTAATCGTATCCTAAATAGTCATGTAAATTGCCTCCCCTCATTAATTCCCAATACTATTTAAATAGGGAAAAGTACCAAGTATGATGTATCAAAAATGTAATTTTATGGGGAATTCAGTAATATGACTAATTATTGACGTAACATTTGATTTTAACGCCCTCTGGCCTCAGCGGTTGAGTGCCAACCCAGCGCGTCCCCAGGTAGTGGATAGGAGGACGGCCAGGATTTTCCTGGTTAGTGGTAGACATAAGTAGAGTAAGAGAGCCTAAAAATTTTCAAAATCTTCTGCAAAGGCTACCGCCGCGAACCAACTCCTTCAATCTAAGGTGTAAGGTAAGGTACCGACGGATTAATTGTCGCAGGGGCAGATGCGGCACCCAACATTCCTTTGAGGGTATCTGGCGCGACACCCTCTTGTATCCAGCCTTGCTGGAGCATGCAGGGCTCTGCGTCAGTCGACCCTTCTTTCCCTAGCTACTCGTGGGAACCTTATGGATCCAAACCCACACAAATCCAAGGAGGCTGTACGTCAACGATCACCTCCAGCAAAAAAGGCTGGAGTCAACGTTCACCTGCAGCAAAGGAGGCTGGACGTCAACGTTCACATCCAACAAAGGAGGCTGGACAGCAAAGTTCAACTCCAGCACAGGTGGCTGGACAGCGATATACACCTCCAACATATGAGAATGGGCATCGCAGTTCACCTCAAACCGACAGGAACTACAGAGGCAAGAGCATCACTGGTTCTAAAGCAAAGAGGAGGAAGAAGGATAAACTGCAGACAGGCAGAGCTTCAGCAACTGCCACCGGCAGGATACGCCCTCACTCCAAACACAACCTAAGCAGTCCAATCAAGTCTTTGGGTAGCGACGCTAGTTCTGCCTCCATCAGAGGCCAGGAACACGACGCAACCAAGGACGAGAAAAGGCTGCGGGGCTCTGAGGAGCCACATTAGATCACCCCCTCCCCATTTCGGAGGAAAGGATGGTCAAACACTAACGTCAAACGCTTCCCAAACTTCAATGGGGAATCGGGAAGTAATTAAAGAGGTGAATATTATTCAATGTAACTTTCAACACATTATACCGCCGCCTTGATGAGCTGTAAGATACAATAGCATTCATCCAGGAACCCTGGATAATAAAAACCAAAATTTTAGTTCTAAAAAAATATAAATGGTTTCATTTTTAGCTTTCCCAGCAACCAACAACCTAGGACAGCCATTTACATTCTTAGGAAATATAAAGCCCATTCAATGGCACACCTTTCCACATCCGATTTAACTGTGGTTAGGATGGAATATATCATCAAGAGGGAAAATAACACGTTGTTCCTCCGTCTACATACCTCCCCTCCGGCGCAACCGCGCCACCAGCCACCACCCAGTAAAGAGTTGACGCATCTGATTGAATACTGCCTGAACCAGAAGTTTGAGCTGGTAATAGGTTGCGACTCAAATGTTCATCACTTCAGTTGGGGCAGTAAGGATAACAACGCTAGAGGTAAGTCACTTTATGATTATATATTTACCAAAAATCTTTGTATTTTAAATAAAAGTACTAAACCAACATTTTTAAACTCTTGCAATCAAACACTAATAGATATCACTTTATCCACCACTGGTATCTATAAATCAATTCTAAACTGGCAAGTGCCTGATGACATTTCGCTGTCAGACCACCGCTGGTTAACATTCAAAATAAACTTGATCTTGTCGACCACCACGTTATTTCGAAACCCTAGGAAGTCGGACAGGGCAACCTATGCTCACCTTCTCCAGGAGGCCTTGAGAGAGGTGGAGGCCGAAACACCAAACAATAACAATGCTCTCGAAAAGTACTTGACACTATCCAAAGCACAATAAACAATGCCTATAAGAAATCCTGTCTCCTGAGGCTGCTCCAACACAATCAGACTACCGCATGGTGGTGTCACGCGTTGTATCACCTCAGAACGATGGCTAGGAAATCTTTTAATAAAGCAAGAACTCTAAAACTCAAAGAGGACTAGGATACTTACAAATCTCAGCTAACAGAATACAAAAAAATCGTTAGACAAAAACAGAGAGATGCATAGAGATTCTACTGCGAAGAAATCGAAGATTTCCCGCAGACATCGAGGCTTCAAAAAGCTCTCTTAAGAGATAAACACCGCTGTATTAGTGCGCGTATCAAAGAGGATATAGCATGAAAACTGCAAACCTCGAAGATAGCATCAAACTTCTGCTGTCAACACACTTCCCAGACTCGGTGATCACAGATGTAGCCGACTGGGCAGAGGCAAAATACAACCCACCTGTCTACGATTGGAAATTAATAAATAAATAAATCCTTCCGAAACACTGCAGTTATGTGCGACGTTTGATACCCCTTTCCCCGTCTGATATATCATGCGGGCAGAAGATGTATTGGTTATACAGTGTCTATCTTAGATAATATGATGTCTATGGATTTTCTTAACCAATTTTTAACCGACTTCAAAAAACGAGGAGGTTCTCAATTCGTCGTAATATTTAATTCCATAATCATTATTCATCAAACGTTGATTAATCAATTTTGACAACAAAAAATGGTCACTAAATTAATTTTGAACCAGTAACATATCAATATATACAGGGTAGCAAAAAAGTTGGCAACAAGCTATTTTCTTTGAAACGGGTGAATGTTACAGATAAGGGACATAAAGATAGGAAAGGCAACGGCCGCAGTAACAAAGGTATCATCGATGCATCTCAGATGTTAACTAACGGTACACGTCGTTTGTAAACAGACTTCAGATTTGAACATTTTTCTTTATATTCACCAATTAAATTAACATCCTGTATATGAAATTAATTATTTCCAATTTCGTATCTAGTTCGATGTGTAAATTATAATAATAAAAATGCTGACTTATTTCAAAATTATTTTCAAAACATTGAACTAGAGAGACTGAAATTGGAATAAAAATATTTTTCTAATGTACATTTAAATAATTAAATAATATTAATTGTTATTGTATATTGTTTAATCTGTGATAATATAAATGTAAATGCAAAACGAAAAATAAAGAGATTGACTAAGAACATGTGGTAGTTTACTTTACAAAATTATCTCTGAAATGAGATTCATGAAAACCATCTTGTGGTATTAATTACAACAATTATCTTTAAAATCTATTCACAGACAGTTTAGTAGATGTGGATAGTTTGTAAAAATAAATGTCAATTAGTTGTATGTATTGTAGAATCCTGAATATGAATTTTAAATTTTGAGTTTATGATTTGTTTATATTGTAGGGTGAATCAATCGGAGTTACGTATTGCATTAGTAACACATGCCACATGAATAAATTTAACAACCCCAATGTGGAGTTCTTTCATTTACCAAAGTAAGATCTAACCTACTAAGTTACACAAACAGTAGCCAACTTTTGTCACAAAGTATTTATTTATTGTTTTAGAGCAAGAAAATAGCTTCAAAATGTTATATAGAAGATTTGATATAGAAACAAAAATATCTGAATTCCCATTATGGAGTTTGCAGTCCACATTTTTAAAAATGAGACAGCATTGGCCACTCGTTTGGAAAATAAGAACAAAAATTTTAAAGTTACAAATAAGGGAGCGGCCATTAATTACGTGAGGTGTTCAAGGGGGGAGGATATCAAGCTAAATCTTTCCAAATCTCACTTGGGGGAGAGGGGGGTCTTTGTAAATCTGACATAATTTTTTTCTAGTAGAAAACGGTATAAAATTGCGTCAAAGTAAGGTTAAATTAAAGTAAAGAATGTTTCTAGAAATTTTATATTACAGCAATATTCTGAAATACTAACTAGTTTTTGCTAGTCTTAAATGAAAGTAATAGAACAAAATTTTTTTTTTAATAATCCAGCGCATTTATACCTAAAACACAAATTTTGAAAAATCTCACGTCAGATTAGGGAAGGGGGAAGGGAGTTGAGGAAAGTCTTAAGAAATCTCACCAGGAGAGGAGGGGAGGTCAAAAAATCCTCAAAAATACCTCACGTAATTAACGGACGCCCTCTAATCAAAAATTAAAAAATATTTGTCATGAAATAGATTCAGGGTCGGTCTTTTCACCTTCAGATAAAGTTCCAGTTAACTAACCAAAGGGTATATTATCCGAGAGTTACTATCTGACAGATAATGAGGTTTCCGTCTTTTCAAGAGAAATAATCTGTAGGGTAGTTATCTGGTACTTTTTAACGTTCTATGGTCATGTACCTACCTTCCTATCAATTTATTTATACATGCAATATGTCATTCTCACTGTCACTTGTTGTCATTATTTCGGTTTGTCACTTAGTTGAAAGGTTTTTGTATTTTTATGATAATATTTGTTATTTAAAACTCCATAAAGCAAGTGACAAAACAGAAAACATTGACCAACTTTCAATAAGCAAGGAGATTCTTGAAACACAAAGCAGTACTGCCAAATAAAAAAATTAAAATAGATTGTTCATTTGATTAAATTGAATATTTCGAAGGTGTAGTTTTTTATTCTGCATGTATGTAATATTGGTGCGAAGGGCATTAGTTTACACTATTTGCCATAAACTATTTTATAAATGTAAAGGCTGTTTTTTATTATACAGCTTAGTATTTTTTCGAAAAAAAAAAAAAAATATATAAAATTACCTATACGAAACAAATAAGTAATCCACTATTTTCAAAAACACAACATCTTCAACAACGTCCATAATGTCAAATACAATAATGTGTTGACTCGTATCGCATATTATTTATTATGTTATATACCTACTTATCTATCAGTTAACTACTTTATCAGGAAGTTCAAAGGTAAGATAAGTTATCTTTCAGATTAGACCAATTTTTCTGCTGGTTAGTTTTATCCAAAAGTGAAAAGATGATTTTTTAAGTTATCTGGGAGATAACGATTACCTGACACTTTTTCTGAGGGTGAAAAGATCGACCCTTAATTAATCGACAATAGACTGCAAGTGTACCTAGTAATCTTTTTAATAGATATAATTTACTGTGATTAACATTGTTTAAATATATTTACCAGAACATGAAAGTACATATGTATAACCTTTATTTTCGGGTTTTTAAATTTCCCGCTGCGTTATTTGTTTGATATCAATGAAAGCGCCACACAGTGGGTCTGCGTTCGAGCAGGTCGTTGTTAAGCATGTGCTTCTTTTATGAGCGTTTTTATCTTTATGTCCCTTATCTCTGGTGAATGAATAATTATGAAATTGTAGGGTGATGAATAACTGCATCACATTATTATTGTTTTTTTTTTCTGATCCTATACATACAGGGCAGCGAAAAAGTCTGGTAACAAGGTATTTTAGGTTGATGAATGCGACTTTATTACATTAGTAAAGTCTACTTTTTTAAGCTTTTTTGAAAGAAGGAAAAAATATACTTCTCCCTGATATATCACTCGGTCTACGTTGTCATTTAAAAAAATTCAAGATGGCGGGTATGCTAAACATAAATCTGACATGTCCTCTAAAAAATGCAGAATACAATTCCATTCTACACAAAACAATTTAATAATCATACATTCATTCGTTTCAAAGAAAATGTCTTGTTGCCTGACTTTTTAGTTACCTTGTATGTATTGTACATTCAATGTACGTTCTTTCATTATGAATAAACACAGTTTATAGCTAAAGAATCAGTTAGCTCACTCGGACCAATTGAATATTCCAAGATAACATCCATTCCAGGGATACAAATTCAGGATGCGCACAAGAATGCTGTTTGAATATAGGCGGTTGTCATATATTGTATTAAACCTTCAAAGTGTCGAAAAAAAGGACAATATTAACACAGAATACATATCTAATTTATTCTGTGTTTTGTAATCACACAACTTTTACTGCATTCTCTTATTATTTGTTACCTATGCCATAATTTTAGGCCCATTTTTGTCTAATTTTATATCAACATAAAAAGTTTTCACTTCTTTTTTTTTATAGGAAAAATTACGATGCTCTGCTACCCTGGATATCAAGCTAGCAGAGCACCTTTGGATCTTTAAAATTTTGATAACGCCATAATTTTAGACTTATTTTAGGCTAATTTTATACCAACCTAAAAAAATGCACCCCTTTCTTTACAGAAAAAATTAGGTACTTTGCTGGCTTAACAACAGGTATTTATTCAGTTTTTCATTAAAAAATTAATCAATGTAAAAAATTATAACGGCAAAATTTTAGGCTCATTTTAGGCTAATTCTATTTGGGCTTTTTTCTAAGCACAGTGACTTATTTGACTACTATGACTATTATGAGTCAGATTTGGGTGAATTAGAAAATCTCAGTGGAATGTACTTTTAAAATTTTAAATATAAAGTAGTTTTTTGTTATTAAACTATTGGAATCAAAAAAACATTTCTTACCGGACACCTTTCGCAAAACTTTCCGGAATAAGGTCCATCGGGCGTGGTTTCGCATTTGCAGACGCCGCATTGGCAGGTACCGTGGCCCGAACAAATCTTGCCGTCCACGACACCGGGAGCATAACAGGTGGCTTTCGATTTGATGCAACCACAATTCGGTCCTTCCCATTCTTCCTTGCAATGACACGTTCCGCAGTCGCATGTACCGTGATCCGGACCGCTGCACAATTTGCCGTCGTGTCGGTCGCACGAGAAGTTGTCGCATTCGCAGAATCGTCCGTATATTCTCTGAAAATAATATTAAGAGTTAACTGAGTATTTGACGAAACACATAGATGCAATCTTCAATCATATAAACAATAGATACATGTTCACCCTATATTACAGCAAATGTTTTGTTCCATCATATCTAGAATTTTTCGGCAAAGACACAAGACATAGGTAGGTGAAATAAAATTAAAAGGTATAGGAATTTTGTATAGGGTTAGATATAGCCCAGAACACCGCGGCCCCTTCGGTTGTTTGAACAAAACCCCTTCTTTCCCTATATTCTAGTGTTCCTGGGAAGATCTTTCCGGTTCTAGACCGAAATGGGCATGTCGCCGACTAGTTAGAGCTTTTGAAGATAACGTGGATAAAATAAATTAGGAAATTTCAAATATACAGTGTGTGTCATAAAGTTGGATCCATATGGGAAATTTTTTTGATATTACGATTGGAAAAAAAAGTTGCAGGACAATCACCTGGCTATATCAAGATAGCGGGCACTCTGTGGCGGCACCATACAAGACCTGGTGGGTTTTTTGTAGCTTTTTTGTTATGCAATTTGCGAATTTGTAGCTTTGCCCAGGTCCGAAAAAACAGCGGATCCGCTAGCTTGAATTTCCATAAATTGCATAGTAGCGGCACAGATTCAGACCCAGCTGGTTTTTCGTAACTTTTTTGTAGTTTTTTTGTTACGCTAGTCTCCCTTTTGTAGCTTGTACTCAACCTGAGAAAAGCGCAAATCCGCTAGCTTAGCGGATATTTGTAGCGGCATCAGCCCGGACCAGGCTCATTTTTTGTAACTTTTTTGTTACGCCTGTCTCGATTTCGTTGCGAGGCCTGAACGTGAGTAATAATCGTTTCTCCATGAGCGTGAGAGAAAAGTGCGTTAATTTAAAATCAAGTTTCGGCCTCTACAAGTAATATGTGCAACTCGATAGTGTGACTATCTGTTGCTAGATGGCACCATTATTGCATTTCACGAATTATGGCCATCTTCCATCCAATATATTTTAAAAAAAATTTAGATTTAGGGGTCTATTCTGTAACAATTCCTTTATATTTATCGGCCTCTAAAAATATTGGCTGCCTTTAAAAATATGTTCGTATTCGTTAATTTACTCCTGTCATTATTTGAACAGATTTCTTTAAGACAGTCCTCTAATGTATTTTAAAGATCCGTTTAAATAATGACAGAAGTAAAGAAGAAAATATTTTTAAAGGCCGTTAAATATAGAGGAATTGTTACAGAATAGACCACATAATCTCAAAATCGGACATTTTCAACGGTATGTATATTAATTATTTGTCCGATATTAATGTAAAATACATATTGACAAGATTATTAAAATAGTTGTATGCCGGACGCCACTATTTTCCCGATCGGGCGTTTTCGGTTATTTTTACTGCTAAAAACTTACTGCTAACTTCACACCGGTGGTACTAGCTACCAAGCAATTACCTATTCTCACTATATACAGGGTGTTCCATCTCAGACGAGCCACCCCGTATAGTACTTATCCCATAGTAATTGGAAAAATTTCCCGAAACACGTCTGATGATTTTCTTTGGGGGACATCTTTTGACGTATATTCGAGGCTTGAACGAGCAACTCCCTATAAGGGGGCGCTTCAACCCCTCAAAATTGAATAGGGAAGAGAGGTTGGGTGATATTTCATTTGTAAGGTCCTGAAAGCCTCTTTACAACGGTGTATGAAAAAAATCACATTCTTAAAAAAAATCAATTGTTTTATCATGCTTACAATCAAAAAAATCAAAAGTGCGTTTTTAAATGAAATGTTCAATTTGTCTTCCATTGACTTCCATGCAATAATAAATTCTCACGAACTAATAAATTAAAAAAATCAGAACATTTTCTTATATTGCCTTCATTTTTTGCTCTTAGAAGGCGTTTATCACGTTTCTTCGATCATTTGATGTGATAAAACAATTAATTTTTTTTAAGAATGTGATTTTTTTCATACACCGTTGTAAAGAGGCTTTCAAGACCTTACAAATGATGTATCACTCAACCCTTCTTCCCTATTCCATTTTGGGGGGTTGAAGCGCCCCCTCATAGGGGGTTGCTGGTTCAAGCCTCAAATATACGTCAAAAGATGTCCCCCAAAGAAAATCACCCGACGTGATTCGGGAAATTTTTCCAATTACTATGGGATAAGCAATATACGGGGTGGCTCGTCTGAGATGGAACACACTGTATAGTTGTGATCCGACAGAATTAAACACTGGTCCATAAATACTGCAAAACGATTGGTTAAGGAAATCATTCAAAAAAGATGTAAGAATATTCTTGATTCAACAAAAGTATAAATACATAAACAACACTAAAAAACATTTAAAAACAAATGCAATACTGGTGCGATCTATCAACAGATAGTCACACTATCAAGTTGCACATATTACTTGTAGATGCCGAAACTTGATTTTAAATTAACGCACTTTTCTCTCACGCTCATGGAGAAACGATTATTACTCACGTTCAGGCCTCGCAACGAAATGGAAACAGGCGTAACAAAAAAGCTACAAAAAAGTTACAAAAAATGAGCCTGGTCCGGGCTGATGCCGCTACAAATATCCGCTAAGCTAGCGGATCCGCGCTTTTCTCAGGTTGAGTACAAGCTACAAAAGGGAGACTAGCGTAACAAAAAAGCTACAAAAAAGTTACGAAAAACCAGCTGGGTCTGAATCTGCGCCGCTACTATGGAATTTATGGAAATACAAGCTAGCGGATCCGCTGTTTTTTCGGACCTGGGCTAAGCTACAATATTTGCAAATAGTGTAACAAAAAAGCTACAAAAAACCCGCCAGGTCTTGAATGGTGCCGCCACAGAGTGCCCGCTAGCTTGATATAGCTCAATCACCTCTGCTTATTTAAAAACTTAAAATAGCCCATATCAAAGTTGGCTGGCTACTGACATTCTTTTCTACCAAATCAGTATTATTTTTTTTATTTTTTTTTTTCAAAAAGTGGCAAATTTGACAGATAATTAATGCAGTAGGGTACCTATCCAACTTTAGTAGGGGCTATTTAAAATTTGAAAAAAAAAGCAGAAGTGAAATGCCCTACGACATTTTTTCCAATTGTATTATTAAAAAAAAATCCCATATCGATCCAACTTCATGGAACACACTGTATATCCTGTATCTCTTGGGGTTTCTCAGGGTGCTGGTTCGCGATCATAAATATTCTTGCTTTTTGAAAATTACTTGCCCCTGCATAATCATAAGGAAAAGATTACAATACTTGAAGATGATATTACAATAACGATCACCCACGGGACCATGCAAGATAATGCCTTGTCTGTAGTTAATCAAATGGAACAATGGTGCCACCGAAACTCTAATTGTTAGTAAAGATGTTTTATGAAACTCGTTAAATCAGCTACATTTGAAAAAACTAAATATTCCCAATTTATTTGAATTTTAAACACCTGTTAAATTCTTACCTCATTTTCGCTGGCTCGAGTTTCGCAAATACACTTTTTGCACACGCACTGTCCTCTGCCGGAGCATTCCACTGCATTGGGCAAATTTCGTTGAATGCAATCGGTTGTGGTCGCATTTGCAGTTAAATCGTCAGGTAGGCATTCACAATGTGGACCGTAGGCACCAGGGTAACACTCGCAGATGCCGCATTTGTAAATACCCATGTTCGAACAGGCCGCTGCGTATTCCTTATAGTACTAAAAAAACAACAGCATACTATTAGCATTGATAGAAAGTAAATCTAAATGACATTACTTTTTTATAATATTGGAATTAAGGAAATTGACAAGAGGCCAAAATTTTAACACTCCAGAGCCCTAGAGAGAGTAATGAAAAAAGAATCGACGTGAATTAAATTTACAAATATTAATATTCTTTTTAATAAAATTTACCTTATCACCAGGTTTTTCACAGTCACATTCACACAGCATTTCCAAATCTATAATCAAAGTTTCGTTGATACCAATAGGATGAATATGGATCGTCTGGAAATGATCTGCGCGGTTTTTGGGACACTTTAATACCTCCAGATCGATTTTGAAAGTAACGACATCCCCGACCTAAAAATAAGATGTCAATAATTATTACAATTGCATTATAATTCATTGTACAAGATAGAATAAATTAATTTTGAGGTGAGGTTCGATTATTTTCAGATGAATACTAATACTAAAAAAATTCATTTTGAAACTCCTACTTTAAGATTTGAACTACACCATACTATATGCAATGTTAAAAAATAAACTGTGCAGTAGAAATACCAACAAGTCCACCTACTGAAGCGCCAACTGCTCTCCATGAATAACAAATATTTTTTTACAGAAGCAAAAGAAAAGTTGGCAAACTTGTACCGAATTACAATTACAAAACTAGACCCATTTTAATTTGTGTACGCCTACGGATACTATAACTCGAGTTTATATCATGCGCTGTACACCACTGTAGCAGATTAAGTTTTAAAAATAAGTGTAGCATTACAGGGTTAAAATAGTGATTATAGAAAAAAAAATTACTATAGAACTGATTTTTGATAAGACTTACCTTAATATTACCGCACTTATCAGTATTAACCAAAGCTCCAGAATCATTCAAACATCTAGTGAAAAATTTTATGCTAACGGCGCTAGAAGCGTTATGTTTCATATGGACAGTTGAAGAAATTTGTTCGTATTGTTCTTTGATCAAAGTTACGATATTCGAACTGTCTCCTTCTAGTTTACCGACCGAAGCGCCCTCTATGGTTTTGGCTAGCTGTTCGTATATTTCGATTGTCGATTTCGTTACGGCAAAAATAACGTTAATCGAGTTTTTCTTAACGTTCAAATTGATTTGCTCGATAGACGGATAGTCTTGATATGAAGATTCTGTGTAGAAACCGTCCTCTGACAAGTGACATATACCGTCGTTGGGTTTCACTATACCTCCGAGCTGAAAGAAATTTGAAAAGATTAGTAGTTATTTGAAATAACACGCCCAACTCCATTAGACATTCATTATAGTTTACGCTTGTGTAAATTACAGGCTTATTCCCAGACAGCACACCAAATCCTCTGGATATCTACTGAACATCCCAATATCCACTGAATGTCCAGTCCATGGTGAATATCTATTTTATATCCATGAAATGTAATTTATAGACATGCAAATGTCCATAAATAATAGTAATTATATAGCAAATTATTAAAAAATTACGCCATTGTGGATAATAGTACCGTTTAAAATTAATTTTTTTAAGGTGTATTCAATATCCCATGGACATCTACTAAATATATCAAAGTCTAAGCGGGGACGCAAACCATCGAGGATATCCACAAGATGTAATTTTCGATTTCGCTTCCTAAGTATAGATGGCGATACCACTTTCGTATCTACTCATGCTCAACCCGCCGTAATTGAGTTCGATCGAAATTTTTTTGATAATCAGACTCCATTAGAGGCTGGAGTCGAGAATTTCCATTTATTGCTGAAGATTCCTAATAAGGATGACTTTCTCCTTAATGGGCAAAATCAAAGGCAGATTGTTGGAAATATTTTTTATCTCTATTTTCTTTCGACGTTGTTCAATATTCATTGGTTACTTATGAACCTCTACTAAAGATACCTATAAAGTATTTTGCTGAATATCTGAATTCTATATCCTGGGATAAAGACGGACATTTGGTTGGATATCCACAAAATATATTCTGTAGATATATCTGGGATTTCTTGTATTGTCTGGAAGATACTCATTAGATATTTTGCTGAATATATCCATGGATATCTTCTATATTCTGGATATAGACGGACATTTGGATATCCATATTAGATCCACGGAATATTTCTGATATCCTGTGGATATATTGAATATCCACAAAAAATATTCTGTGGATATCTCTGGGAGTTGGTGTGTTGTCTGGGTTTAGAGATCGTTTGTGAATCAGGCGGAATACGGACGTACTATGTTAGATGCATATTCATACAGGAAGATAAGACCAATTGAATAATTGGTAAAGGTGCATACATTCATGTAACAGAACTTCCGTTTTGTAACACCGTTGAATCAAAGAAATGATACACACTGATGTTGCACCACTTGTTTGCATATCTGGAGACTTCACAGGAAAGTCAATTATTCTTCTGAAATGAAACGACAATATGTTCTGCTCATCTAATACGCGACAATGTATTGACACGAATAAATCCTTGACATACACGAAGTTCTGTTGCATGTATACCCAGACAGCACACCAAATCCTTTGGATATCTACTTGACATCCCAATATCCACTGAATGTCCAGTCCATGGTGGATATCTATTTTATATCCCTGAAACGTAATTTATAGACATGCAAATGTCCATAAATAATAGTAATTATATAGCAAATTATTAAAAAATTACGCCATTGTGGCTAATAGTACCGTTCAGGTATTTAAAATTATTTTTTTTAAGGTGTATTTCAATATCCCATGAACATCCACTAAATATATCAAAGTCTAGACGCGAACGCAAACCATGGTGCATATACACTAGATGTAATTTTTTATTTTGCTTACTAAGTATAGATGGCGATACCACTTTCGCTCGTGCTCATGCTCAACCCGCCGTAATTGAGTTCGATCGAAATTTTTGTCCCAATCAGACTCCATTAGAGATTGGAGTCGAGAATTTCCATTTATTGCTGAAGAGTCCTAATAAGGATGACTTTCTCCTTAGTGGGCAAAATCAAAGGCAGAGTGTTGAAAATATTTTTTATCTCTGCTATTTTCTTTCGACGTTATTCAATAATCATTGGTTACTTATGAACCTCTACCAAAGATAAAATATGTTGCTAAATATCTGAATATCTTCTATATCCTGGGATATAGACGGACATTTGGTTGGATATATTGAATATCCACAAAATATATTCTGTGGATATCTCTGGGATTTCTTGTATTTTCTGGAAGATACCCATTAGATATTTTGCTGGATATCCATTAGGATATCTTCTATATTCTGGATATAGACGGACATTTGGATATCCATATTAGATCCACGGAATATTTCTGATGTCCTGTGGATATATTGGATATCCACAAAAGAGATTCTGTGGATATCTCTGGGATTTGGTGTGTTGTCTGGGTATATGCCACCTTAAGAGGGTACAGTCGAAAGTCCACTACAGATTCCATCTGGGTCGCAGTGGAAGGCGATGAGATCATCCCTCATTTTCAACCTAACCACTACAACAGATTGATTCCTCAAAAGCAAAGTATGCTAAATTGGTACGCGGACCGGTGTTAAGTATAATTTATAACCACCGTAACGCAACGTAATGCCGTAGAAACTTAACGTAAGATATAACAATAAAGTCTATTTATAAATGTCCGTAACGTAAGAGTTGAGCATGCGTGTTGTATTTCAGAGATTATCAAATTACTGACAACCTTATGAAATAAACAAGTTTAAACTATGTACCTAACCTCCAAATAAAACTTATAAATTATGATTTTGCTATAAAGAAAGAATATATTAACTAAATTAAAAGCAATAATATAAAAATATAATAAAACGGAATAGTTTACTGATGATGTTGATTGTTTTTGAACAATAATGATAATTTTATCTTTCCTAGCAAACTAGTTTTGTGTCTTATTTCAGTTCTAGACTTGATGTTTATAAGTATATGCAGCAACACTCATATTTCATAAATAGTTTATCCCCAATAACATAAACACAAATCATTCATGATAATGGGTGCTATGATTGAACGTTTACGTTATCCGTAACGTACATGTTAGGCCAAGTTTTAACATTAACGAGGCAAGTTCGTATGATGGAAAACTTTTTCCAACACATTACTGTTATTTTCCGCTTATTATGTTCTAATTTTACAGATTTCCATCACCCTCGTTACTGTTAAAAATCGGCCTAACATGTACGTTACGGATAACGTAAACGTTCAATCATAGCACCCATTGTATGTCGATAAAAAAGGAGAATGATAGTTTACAAATGATATTTGTCCATTTATTTATAAAAAAAAAAAAAAGAATAATTGACGGTTATCACATGCTGAACTCAGAATTATCTCATTGGCTGACCGTAAGGTCTTAAGTTGTTAAGTTAAAAGTTGGCGAACTTTCTACGGTACGTTAAGTTCTTAAGTTACGTTAAAACATTTATAAATAAGTATACGTAAATTCAATATTTCAGCTTCTTACGTTAAGTTCTTAAGTTACGTTACGGCAGTTGTAATTTAAGCTTTACTCTTATTGTTGGTATGTTAATGAGACAAAAGACCAATGCTCGGGTTAAGAGGAGCAGGTTTGTATATTTTATTTTAATACATTCATTAACCCATCCAACCCATACAACAGATCCATAGAATCTACATAATTGTCAATAAAGGCATCAAAATATTGCCCTTAACTAACTTTTGTTCTAGGGACTTAACGACGGTGAGAATCAAGATCAATGAGGGTAGTGAGCCGAGGAATATAATAAGCGGATCGGCATATTTCTCTTCACATGATCCTGAAGCAACAACACCTACCATAGAAGTAGAGGAGCTGATGAGATTCTACAGGCGCAATGGACTGCAGACGATCATCGGCTGCGATACGAAAGCACACCACAAAATATAAATGAAAGGGGCGAGTCTTTACAATTTCTTATGGCAAATAATTTAGATACAATGAATGTAGGCAATAAACCTACCTTTATTACAAATAATAGAAGGGAGGTACTCTATGTAACAATAGCATCAACTTATTTGAGTAACTATGTTACAGCATAAGATGTGTCTGAAGAGGAAAGTAGACAAATAAATTTTAAAAATTATTAATAAAGAACCTTATCGGAATATCCGGAAAACAGATTGGGAAGCATATAATGCCTCCCTGGAGTATAATATTCCAAAGATGAGAATGAACAATAACAGACCTTGAAATAGCTGTGGATGACTTTAACGACCCAGTCACCAATGTGTTCAACACTTGTCGTTTAATAGCAAGGAACTTGATAAGGAAGTAAGAAAAAATTCAACAAGGCAAAGAGACATGGAGATGAGAGGAATATATAGCACCATACGGACCAGTTACAACGAAGTTTTACGAAAAGTCAAGAAAGATTCCTGTAGGAGGCACTGTGAGGAGATAAAAAGCACTCAAGAATGTGCCAAACTCCAGATAATCTTTTCAAAAGACAAACAAAATACAATAAACTGTCTTAAAAACGAATTAGGAGAGTACACATGAACAGGGAATGAAACGATTGGAGAACTCTTTAGGATGCATATCCGTGTGTCATAAACCATAAAACACACACCGGCAATCTGGAGTCCAATTGGACTGGAAACTCGTAAAGGAGCCAACAGATAGGACTTGCAGATTGCCAAAAAAGTGGTGGATTACGACAAATCACCGGTACTTAACGGAATGTATCCAATAATACTACAAAGGGGACCTGATATTTTGTACAAAAGATTCTGCAGCATACTCAGAAGTAGCCTGATCGGATATGTACCAAGAGCATTGTAAAAAATAAAGGTCACTTTTATACCAAAACTTGGGAAAATCGGATTGGGAACAGCAATGTGCCTAAGACCAATAAGTCTAATGTACTCGTACTCAAGACTTTGGAGAAACTGTAAGATGACAATATATTAGAGAAGGGATACAGGTTCAAAGACCAATAAACCAGGACTAATACGCCTATAGTGCAGGAAAATAACAGAAACAGCTCTCCATCAATTAGTAAAAAGGGTGGAGAACACATTGGAAAAAAGGAGGTAATGTTAGGAGCTTTCTTAGATATCGAGGGAGCATTCGACAATACCTCCGTCGACCTATCATTAGAACTCTGAAACAGAGAGGAATCAAGGACATGTGTGACCTGGATAAACTCTATGCTAAGAGGGAGCTTGTGTTGCGAGGGGATGCTCACTCCTGTGGAACCTAGTCATGGATGGGCTGATTAGGACTCTCAAAAATAATGGACACAAAACCCTGGAATAAGCCGATGATCTAGTGATCATGGCCCAGTTACACTACAGTTAGAGACCGTATGCAAGAGGCTCTAAACACAGTAACAAAATAGATAGAAAATAAAAATAAGTCCTAACAAATCTACCATAATTGTATTCACGCACAGGAGAAATATAGAAGGACTAAAATTGCTAAACCTCCGAAGTGAAAACGTCCAACTAAAGTATATCGTGATTACAATTAACTCGAAACTTACCTGGAAACATTTGGAAAGAACTAGAAAAGCGAAGACATCACTAGTGATCACAATAAAAAATGGGGTCCGAAACCAAGTATGGTATACTGGACATACAATATGGTGGTAACACCGATAATAACATACGCAGATTTGGTGTGGTGGCCAAAGTTACAACAAAGAGCGGCAGTAGCGAGACTAAGTAAGATACAAAGACTAGCCTGTCTTGGAATAACAGAGGCAATGAGAACAACCCCCAAAGCAGAAATGGAAGCACTAATAGGCTTGCTACCACTTTACTTTGTGATAAAAGGGAAGGCAAGATTAGGTGCTTACAGATTAAGGAACACCTTGTGAAATCTTAACAATAGACCAGGCCACATAAGTATCCCAAGGTTAGTGATGGGGGACGTGCTAGACATGAGAACAGATCAGGGCTGGTGCTTTGATCAGTATCCACTGTTCACCAGTCCTTTTTGCAGCCTTCTTTGGCACTTTTTTTCTGAATATTTTTATATGTATAAAAAACTGGAAGTTGCAAATAAAGTTTATTATTATTATTATTACATAACCAAACAGTACTCCTTCAACACTTCAGTCGAGGTTTTAATACCAAGGGAACCCAGTACCCAACGACAGGAACATACCTGGTACACAGACGGGTCAAAGACTGTGGAAGGTACTGGGGCTATAGTAATCTCCAAAAACCCCAACACCAACCTTAGCTATGCAATAGGAAGACACGTTTCAGTATTTCAGGCTAAGGTTTATAATCTTACAATGTGAAAGAACAAACAGTAGGAGAGCTATCTCAAATAAACAGATACAAATAATGTCAGACAGCCAGGCGGCCTTGTCATATCAAGTCAGAAAGTAACGTCGAAGCTGGTATGGAATTGCATCGAAGAACTGAGTATACTGCGTATACTGGCAGACCTAAATAGTGTAAAATTAGTTTGGGTGTTAGGTCATCAAGGGATTGAGAGGACAATGAAAAGGTTGATAAACTCACAAAGAGAGGGTCAGAAGAAATATCAAAAAGTACAGTTCGATGTTTCATAAATGGTTCAGAGAAAACACAACAACTATTGGAAGAATGTCCCAAATCAAGCACATGGGAAGACCTTTATAGGAAGACCATGTTCAAAAAGAATAAGATAACTAACTACTCTCCATGAATAGGAACCAGTTGAAAATAATAACAAGACTCGTGAATAAGATGTTCCAGTAAAGGGACATCTAAACAAAATAGACGTGTTTAATGGAGACCTATTGTGTCGACTCTGTCACAAAGAATCAGAAACAGCCAAACACATACCGTGAGGCATTGGATTGCAAAAGACAGGCACTTATTGGATAACCATAGGTTGATCCAAGAACCTATAGAACATACCGTCAAGGACTTGTACAAGGGACCAAGATGACAGAGCGAGTACTACTAATGTGGGTCAAATACAATAAGCCATTAGGCTTCAGTGATGTCGGAGACTAAGTCAGATGAGCCCAGGAAAAAACCCATCCAAGGACTAGTTGACCTATATCTGACTACCGTATTGATACAATCTACCACTTACCTTTCCATCTCCAGCATAATGGAAACTGGCATCAGTCGAAAATACCAACAGCCTTCTAGCTTGCTCTCTCCAACCGATCTGATGACGGCATACTATAGCTTGCATTATAGCGTCGAAGCCACCTTCAGGTGCGTCCAAATTACCAGAAACGTTGGCTTGTTTTACCATTTGCTAATTTAAATTAACAAGTCAAGTGAGCAGTTTAGAAATAGTTAAAAAAAACTGTTTTACATCTTGCCACAGTTCATGTTGGAAATTATATTATTATAATATTGATAACTGATATTTTTGCTTAATTTCTGTACAAAAAGAATACTATTTTCAAAATATTACTATTATTGATTTAACTATTTTTACAAATTTAACTTTATATCTGATCTATTTTAAGAAATCAATTCGTGATAGATGTAACACAGTTTAAAATATATTATTTGTATCTCTAATAGACATGTTAGTTGAAAATTGGGGAAGTTATTAATGTTTAATGGAAAATTTTGTAGAAAGAAGCTGTTAATAATGGAAAGTTATGCAATTATTAGTACAGTGAGTAGTTAGTAAACACGTCTATATATGCCAAAAAAAGAACAGGAAACATGCCTAAGTACTTGCTCAAAAACAATATAAACTCCAAAAAAAATTAACCCTCTTTAGTTTTAGTTTAAGCAAAGTGATGAATTCAAATAAGAAATATGTACATTATTATAGGTAGTTTTTCTTTTCAGATACAATATACCAATATTGTGTAAAGAAGTGTAAAAACAATGTTCTATTGTACAGGTTGGGCAAATTTCGATGTTTTAATAAGGAATCTCGTTAAATGGTATGGAAAAATGGAACTCCGATCTTCGATCTCTTTTTTTGAGAAAAACTTAATAGCATTTTAAAAAATTGGCTATTGTCTTTTGTTTTCGAGTTATAAACAAAAGTTCTTTTTTTTTTTCAAATTTTCATTATATGGCATTATATCGCTTATTTATGAAAGTGGAAGAAAATAATTTATACCTTCTTCAGGCACTTCTTTGATAAGAATCCAGTGGCGTAGTCAATTTTTTTTTAAATTCTTCAAATTCGAGTTATTGCATAAAGTTGTATTTTTTTATATGGAACGGATAAGCTGTGGCATACAAAAAAAGACAAAAATTTTCCCATTCTATATAACCCACTATGTGAAATGTATAAAAGTTGTAAATTTGTTTGGATTATCCAAATTGATGAGAGGATCAGAATTTGTAACGATCCTCAAAATTTCATAATAAGAATCACAGTGAAGATTAGTCGATGTATAGAAATTGATAATAAATGAATATTTTGAAAATCTGAGCATTACTGAACACAAATTTTGAAAGAAGTAAACATTATAGCACTGTTTAAAAGAATGAAAGAAAAAGAGATCCAAAAGATAAGTATTCATAAAAATTTTAAATTGACAAGTTGTTTGACAGGGAATTAATTTTCTTATTTGTCATTAATAATGACAAAGTCTGAATAATCTACAAATTCTAAAAGCAGATAATACCAGCTGGTAGCAGAAAGGAGATAGAAATTTAACTCGAAAATTTAGTTTTGAATTTAGAAATTACAGGAATCTGAAAAAAGATTGAGAACATTTTTTTTATTATTGTTATCAGTTTTTAAATTGTTCATAAAATTTCAGAGAAAAGCACACACTTTTAAAGAGCAAAATGGTCTATGAAAATAAATAAAAAATTTAATTAACAATTCTGAAGTTGCAAGGAATTATATTTTAATCGTTACCCGAAAAGAAGATAACCTAATAATTCTATTTTCAAACAATTTATAGGAATACTGATTTTGCAGACGAAAAAATTGAGTAGAAAAATAATCTTCAAACAATTTTTATTGACCGTTCTCATATAACATCAAATATACGTATTAATAAATATAAGTACACAAAATTCATAAAGACTTACTGAAAACTAGGTTTTTCCAATATTCCCACTATTTCAGTAAGATGTAAAACATTTAAAAGTGAACAAATTAACTTCTACGTAATTTAAAGTTAGCTCTTTCCTTTCTATTAAACTTCCGACGAAATGATAATTCACATCAATGTGCTTGCTTCTTTTGTGAAATTCTTAATTTATAGCCAGTTTTATTGCACTTTGATTATCAACATTTATTATTGTTGCTGTTTCGTTCGCCATACTCCGCTTCGGTCGTTGATAATGCTACAATAGATTGAAGTTGGGAAGACCAACTCACAGGTGCATTATTCAATAGAAAAATATATCCCCCACTAGATTTACGGGTATTAATATCTCCTGCGTAATCGGAATCTGTATACGCCATAATATTAACGCAAGCATTCTTATGTGAGCTTCTTCTACAGATTATTCCAACATTTTGCGTACCTTTTAAATATTTACGAAAATACCTTCTTTATTGCTCCCCAATGCTTTTGGTTATACCCATTCAAGAACTGGCTTAGATAATTAATTATAAATGCAATATCGGGGCGTGTGTTCATTGCAATGTAAAGCAATGTATCTACAGCTTCTCGAAAAGGTATTTGCAATGCCGATTCGCGAATTAAATCAACTTTCTTAAGATGTAAGTTTGGTTCTGCTGTAATGCTTGAAGGACGACAGGCTAACATATTAAATGTTCCACTTTTCTTTATAAATTGTCCTTGAGATATAGCTATCACACCTTCTTTTCGCTTTCGTACAATTTCTAAACCTATAAAATTCTCAGCACTTCCAATTCTTATTTCAAAATTGTTTTCCAGTTGTACCAAAATTGTATGAACAGTCTATTTCGACTTTGTTAAAATCAATCCGTCATCAACATAAAGTGCTAAGTACACAATGTCATCTTTGATGTATCCAACATATACACAGTGATCAGAATTTATTACAACAAAGTTGTGATTTTTCAAAAATGTTGCAAATTTTCTGTTCCAACATCTTGGCGACTGTTTTAACCCATACAGACTTTTGTTTATTAGTTTGCAAACAAGACTAATATTATCTTCAAAACCTTTAGGTTGATACATATAAATTGTCTCTTTTAAGTTGCCACAAAAGAACGCTGTTTTGACGAATTGGGAAATTTCCAAGTCCAACTCTGCGACTATAGCAAGTAAAATTCTAATAGACTCATATCTGACTACTAGAGCAAAAGTCTCTTGATAGTCTATTCCTTCTACTTGATTAAATCCTCGTACTACAAGTCTCGCTTTGTGCCTTTCTTCGCCCTCCAAACCGTGTTTTACAGAGAAAATCCATTTACAGTCTAAAAAATTTTCATTTTTGGGGGCAATTTGCAAAGACCTTGTTTCATTCTTCTTTAGCGAGTTAATCTCTTCTTGAATAGCTTCTAACCAGAATTTTGATTTTTCTGATCTTATTGCTTCATCATATGTATTGGGTGTTTCCAAAATTGTATTCATTGCTGAGAAGTAGTTGGGTTTCTTAATCGTGTTTTTATCTCGTAAATCACGTCTTTTCACTTCAGTTTCTAAATTTATTTCTTCTTCGATTTCCTGTCTGGCTTCATCTGTATCTATTTCTTCTGTCTCATTGCCAAAAATAATATCAACCCAAACGTTTTTCTTTTCTTTACTTATATAAACTTTTCTGTTATTAGAATTCCATAAACGATAATTTTGGGAGGAATTTTCATTGCCAATAAAAATCATTTTCTTGCTTTTCTGCTCCCACTTCTTTCTCAGCTCCTTAGGCACATGCTTATAAGCTGTAGTTCCAAATGTTCGAGTATGTTGAATGCTAGGCTTTCTATCATGACATTTTTCATAAGCTGTTATATCTTCTAACTGTTTAGACAATACTCAATTTAAGACAAACACCGAGGTATTAATAGCTTCAACCCAGAGTTCTAAAGGAGCACCTTTTGCATGAATCATGGAGCGAGCACTTTCAACTATAGTTCTTATTTCTCTCTCTACTGCACCATTTTGTTCATGAGAGTATGGGGAACTATTTTCAAATAAAAAACCTTCCTGTCGAAAGTATTCCTTCATTTCTTGATTAATGAATTCTTTTCCATTATCGCATCTTACAGTTTTGATAAAATTACCAGTTTGTCTATTTACGATTGCTTCAAATTCTTTAAATTTTTCAAATGTTTCTGATTTATTTCTTATAAAATACACAGTTCTGTAACCACTCTGTAACTCAACAGAGTCCACAAACATCTGCATGAATAAGTTCTCCACATAATCCGGCTTTCGGTCGACTAGATGATTGAAAATGTCTTCGATGTTGTTTGCCGTATTGGCAACCTTCGCAAAAAAAATTAGATGCATCATTAATCATAGCTCCTTCAATCGCTCCTTTTCTTATAGTTTCTTTTATAGCATTTATATTTATATGCCCTAGTCTTTCACGCCAAAGTTTTAGGCTGACTGTATCAACAGCATTGCATTTTATACTATTCATAATAATATGCACCTTCATTAACATTTTGAACATGTTGCCTTTTCTTATACCTAGACATGATAATTCACCATCAGTATTAAAAAATTCGCATCTATCTGTGATACTTTCAGTTGGAAAAATTACAGACAAAGGATTTAAGATGGTAGCACTCAGTGATAGATGTGAATTTTTTAATACTGATGGTGAATTATCATGTCTAGGTGTAAGAAAAAGCAACATGTTCAAAATGTTAATGAAGGTGCATGTAGAGAACATCTTTCAAAACTTTTAAATTCCACTTTCCATTGGCATATGCTAGCACATCAATATTACCAATACCAATAGGGGTTACTACTTTGTGGTCTGCAATTCTAACAAGCAATCCACTTTCTGAGGGATTCAAAAATTTAAACCATTCTTTCTTAAATGTCATATGGACACTAGCACCTGTACCTGCTAGCCAGATTCGCTCAATATCGTCTTCGATGGTACTATTAAACAAAGAGAGAATGTCACAAGTAAGTGCTTCAACTCTATGATCTCCATTCCTCTTTCCGTCTGTCTTATTTTTGCATTCTCGCCACCAATGACCAACCTGCTTACAAATGGCACATTTTGTCTTCTTCAGTTCTTGAATATTTGCTTTCTTTTTATTTTTGTATTTGTTGCCTTTATCTAACTTTAACGATTGAACTACTTGGAGTGCTAAACTTTCATCTTTGGTTTCATTTGCGGACATCTTCTGTTCTGCTTTTAACAATCGTGACACCA